AAAAAAAAATTAAAAAAAAAGATATGAAAATTAATAAAACTCCACATAGCCACAATCACAATAAATCTATACCTAGACACATAATCAGGATCTCAGAAATTCAGCAAAAGAACAGAATAGTAAACTCTGCTAGGGAAAAGAAACAGATCACCTCCAATGGAAAGCCCAACAGAACCACAACAGATTTCTCAGCACAAACCATCAAATGAAGAAGAGCTTGGAGTGAAGTATTGCAGGTCCTGAAAGAAAATAACTTTCAACCCAGATTTATATACCCTGAAAAGCTATCTATCAAATTCAGTGGTGAAATAAGATTATTCCATGACAAAGAACAATTGAAGAAATCCATGACCACCAAACCAACCATACAAAGAGTACTGATTGATATTCTAGAAATAGAAGTGATCACAGCTTGAAGAACAACAGAAAGGAACTACAAAACAGAGCAAGTAATTAAAAATAGGGAAAATGAGATGGCTCAGTGGAATAAGCGCTTCCCTGGCAAGTGCAAGGGCCTGAGTTCAATCCCCGGTTCCACAAAAAAACAAAACAACAACAACAAAAAAAAAAAAACCCTGAATTAAAAAAAATAGGGAAAATGTACAGAACTTGTAACAGGAAAATAACATGACAAAGATAAGCCAATATATATCAGTTATAACCATCAGTGTAAACAGCTACAGTTCACCAATCAAAGGAAACAGATTAGCAGAGTGGAATAAGAAACTAAATCCAACAATATGCTGCATACAGAGAACACATTTAACTCAAAAGTAAATTTATGACTAAAAGTCAGGGGATGCAAAACAATCTTCCATGCTACAGGAAATCAGAAAAAAGCAGGGGTGGCTATCCTGGTTGTTGACAAAATCAACTTCAAACCAAAAACCATCAAAAGAGATAAAGAAGGTCATTACATTCTTGTTAAAGGAAAACTACAAAGGGAAGAGATAATAATTATGAATACATACATACCAAATGTGGGAGAACCATCCTAAACAACACAAATTTTAACACACATGAAAAATCAAATGAACAATAATACAATAGTAGTGGGGGACCTTAACATGTCACTCCCACAAACAGATACAATTTATCAAAACCTGTGGGATGCAATTAAAGCTGTCTTAAGAGGAAAATTCATAGTGGTAAATTCTCACATTAGGAAAATAGAACAAGCCCAAATAAACAATCTTATGCTACACCTCAATCTCCTAGAAAAAGAAGAGCAAGTCAAGCCCAAAGCCCAAAGAAGGCAGGAAATTATAAAGGTTAGAGCAAAAATTAATGCATTTGAGATGAAGAAAACAATAAAAAGAATAAATGAATCAGAGTTGGTTCTTTGAAAGAATAAACAAAATTGATAAACTCCTACTCAACATAATCAAAAACAAAGGGAAGAAAAAACCCAAATTCATGCAATAAAATATGAAAAGGGTGAAACCACTACAGGCCCTAGAGAAATTCAGAAGATCATCAATACCTAATCCCAAAAATCTTTACTTTCACAGGATGGAAAACACAGAGGAAATGGACAATTTCCTAGATACATATGAAATGCCAAAGAAGATATATAAGATCTAAATAACCCAATAACAAGAAACAAAATTCAAAATGTGTTTAAAAAAAACCCTACCAACAAAGAAAAGCCCAGATCCCAATGATTCACAGAAGAATTCTACAAGAAATTTAGAGATTTAATGCCAACTTTTCTCAAACTCTTCAATGAAATTTAAAGAGAAGCAATTCTCCCAAACTCATTGCTGGAGGCAAGTATTCTCTGATTCTAAAGCCAGAGAAAGATCCAACTAAAAAGAGAAATATAGGCCAATCTCTCTGGTGAATATAGATACAAAGATTCTCAATAAAGTACTAGCAAATAGACTGCAGCAAATCATCAAGAAGATTATGCATCATGACTAAGTGGGATTCATTCCAGGAATGTAGGGATGACTCAACATACGCAAATCCATAAATGTAGTACACCACATCAATAGAACCAAGAACAAAACCCACATGATTATCTCAATAGATGCAGAAAAAGCTTTGGACAAAGTCCAACACTCATTCATAATAAATAGAGAGTTGGAATAGAAGGTCTATATCTCAACTTGATATAAAAAAAAAATCTCTGAGAAACCAACAGCCAATATCATAGTAAATGGGCAAAAATTGAAGGCTTCAGTTTAAAAAGAGGAACAATACAAGGATATCCACTGTCTCCACTCCTATTCAATATAATTCTTGAAACATTACCCCGAGCAATTAAACAAGAAACAGAAATAAAAGGAATAAGGATTGGAAAAGAAGTGAAATTATCATTATTTGCAGATGGCATGATACTCTACATAGATGACCCCAAAAACTCCACCAAAAGTCTTATAGATTTAATCACCAAATTCAGCAACATAGCAGGATAAAAAATCAACACCCCAAAATCAGTAGCATTTTTGTACACAAACAGGGAACACACTGAGAGAGAAGTTAGGGAAACCATACCTTTTAAAATCACATCCAAAACAACAACAACAAAAAATTGAAATACTTAGGAATCTCACAAAGGACATAAAAGATATATACAGTGAAAATTATGGTACTCTGATAAAAAACATTGAAGAGGATTTGAGAAATTGGAAAAATATTACACACTC